TTATTGCATTTCGGGTCGGGTCGGGTTGAATCGAACTAGAACCAGGTCGGGTTCGGGTTCGTAAAAGTGACCCAAACCCAGACTCAGGTCAGGTCAAAATTTGGCAGGTCAAAGTTGGGTTGGACCAGAACTCAACCCGTGACCCGTATTTGACAATCCTAATTTTAATGATTTTTTGTGGTGTAACTTTGATATGTTTTAGATATTATTATTATTAATTTTTAACTAATTTATATTGAAATTTCACCAAATAATTTTACTTATATGTCATTTTAATTGAAATAAGTAATATAATATTGAGTATAAAATGATCAGGAGTCAGTATATTACTTTCAAATATGAAATACATAATATGTATACAATTACTAGTCATTTAGTCAAACATACATTTCTTTGCATACTACAGGCATACTGATAGTCTAATGATAATTGTATTGGGTGCATATGATGCTAATTAGTATACTTTATATGATATGAAATATGTGTAAAGCAAGAAAGGATGGTTGAAAATAATTAATTGATTCAGATTGGTTAAAGACATGTTACCTTGTACAAGAGGGTGAGCCGATAATCTTTTTTTAAATAAGATGTGTGGTATAATCTTAAGTAATATGAAAAATGAGATATAAAAAAACTGACTAATATGCTATAATACGCTAACGGGTGGGAAGTGACAACTTTTTATATAAAAGTTGTCTGGCTTGTGATATGAGATTGATTCCTGACAATATGACTAATATAAATGAGACATTCCTATAAAATTGACTTACAAGATTGGATACTAAAAAAATATCACAAGTGGTCAAATTTCTTATCTTGCTTCCATATGCATATGACACCAACATACATGATAAAGTGTCTAAGTGACATGTTATAATATGATATGTCTATATTACATGACATGACTAATACAGGTATATGATAAGACTGATACAATGGCATATGATACATATGAATTATATGATATATATGATACATTACATTGGATATATTACATTTATACATGATACAGTACATAATATGTGTCTTGATATTGTATGATATGCATATAATAGAAATAAAATACATGACAGGCATACCGATACATATAACATATGAAATGGCATATAAATTGAGATGAAAGATATAAACTATAAGCATGTACAGATTCCTGGTAGATTTGTTGCATTGTAATTGACATAAGTACAGTAATGATAGAACCTATTGATCATTTATATGACCATTGATCACTGAACATAAAATATGTAACTTGTATTGATTTGCATTGCACATATGAAATGTAATGTACATATTGACTGCTTTATATTTTCATAGTTATATATTTATAGCATTTTGGATTAAATAATTACATGCATATTACTTTTATTATCTTGCATTGATTTCAATTGTATGTTCTGATAACTTACTAAGTTGTTAGCTCATCCTATAGTTTTTTACATATTTTTAGGAAGGGATCAAGATCCAATGGAGTGAGACAAATCAGGATTCAAGTTTAATTTTATTTGTTTTCTATATTTTTTGTTTTATTTTTTTGTAGTCAAGAGTATAGAAAGATACACTAATAGATGTAATGATTGATCTCCTTGCTATTATAAATTAAATTTTGATGAATGAATATAAAAATATTTTGATATATATGATCTATAATTACTTCCACTAGACTTATTTATACTAATGAATTATTAGAAGCTCTGGTAGATTAATTAAAAGATGATATTGACATTTTTTTTTCAAATTGACTATGGGGTGTTACGGAACGGCCCTACAAGTATTGTCGCCTCCTTAGTCATTAGGGTCTCTTGGGCAGCAAGGGCCTCTTCCTATTCTTCGGTAGTCACTCAATAGGTTCGGCTTTCACTACAAACTTGATCCTTATCATAGGCGTGTTGGAAAGAGATCTTGTCATCGCAGAGGACACTCTTATGGCCAATAATGAGGGATCATCAGTAGAGAACCTTATCCAAAAATTTTGAAAGAACTTCTAGCAGTAATTTTGAAGGATAGTCGTCTTAGTGTACAACTTAGGTGCCCATTGCAGCAATGTCAATGCCTCAAACTCACTTAGCATGTAACCAAACAACTCACTCAAGGAGAGGCACACAATGGGCTCACCAGCGGAGGGAGACACCGCCAAAAAAAATTAGTTCTAAGTATGGCAAGTAATTGTTCTTACCTTCCCTTGAGGAAGAAGTCAACCCAACCCCTATTGAAGTCATTCCGACCTCAATGGAAGTCACCTATTCAGCAACATCTACCTCCATTGGGCAGCCAATTGGAACTCGCCACGCCATTCTCGCTATCAGGGGAATGTCATCTAAACTCAAGGAAAGAACCACTGTCCCCGGACTCACCCTGCCTCAAATTTAGTGATAGGATCTAGTGGCTTCAAAGCCTTAGATGGCGACCCGATAGTGGCCTTCACTGTACCCACTTCAACCTTCACTATCAAGGAAGGGGTGACAGGCTCAGAAAATCATTGAACGATCTGAGAACCAGCCTTAAAAACCTTCATCTTACTCACTGAGGGGTCCTAACCCTCTTACCCTTAGAAAGGAAAAATTGCTACCCTCCTCACCATTCTAGCCCTCGACATGGCTAGCTAGGCTAGGTCAATTCTTTCGTACTTGTAGAACACAAGAGCTCTTAGGTTTAGGGTAAAAGTATCAAACACTACATGAGAAAGAAGTGTGATCAAATCACTATCATCATAAGGAATCAGCATGATGCCTAAGACTACAGTAAAAATAAGGTAGTAATTCTATATTCACTTTCCCTTTAACTGTTTGGTAGCCATAATAAATGATCGTTATTAATTCACTTATCATTTTTATAACTTACACACCAAATAGTCAAGTCAATTGAAGAACTAAAATGTATACTTATGCGAGTCTTCTAAATTGTTTCATAGGCATTTTTAAGTTCCAATAGAAGGACCCATACCTAATATACCATAACACCAAAGATTCGTCCAAGAATGATTGCCCCTCAACCATTGCTACATGACAGTAAAGAATTCTACTCAACAAAGTAAAACAACCTAGGAAAGACACCTTTCAAAGAAATCCCCAAGGTTATGAACAGGACTCCCCTAGACTTAGACGACTTGTTCCTCCAGCAGGAGACACCCTCTCAGTGTGACTTGCCATTACCTTGGTGGATGAGCCATCAAATGCAACTCGCCAACCTGAACACAGGGAAGGATCACTCCAAGAAAGACATAAACTTGCTTCCTCCTGCTCAGCCAACTATGAAATTCACTACCCTTATAGTTCAAGTGAACTCACACTTCATACAAAACTGGCCCAAGAGCCTCGCCCAAGAGGTCGCTAACATTGCCAATCAATCTAAAGACTAGCACTCATCGCTATCTCGTTGATGAGAGTATTTATAGTCCAATCCATCTAAAGACTCTCCTTCATCAACTCATCAACAAACACTCAATAAAAGGTAACTCATCCTAAGGCTAGAGAGTGGACCAAATAAAAGAGATCATATCAAGCACCTATCAGAGCAAGACATGTGTCTAGGGCCATTCATAATAGGTCTTGTTTATCATTTTACTTTTTATTTATTTGGTGTAGCCCCCTTGTAGCCTTTTAATCCCTATGAATAAAATATGCACATTTTGGATCTTTTTAGCACATCTTATAAGTTCTATTAAGCTAGTCAAATACTCGAATCCCAAAAGTCTTCTTCTTCCTTCCATATTCACCACAGGCTTTAGGGTTCAAGTCTCTTAACCTTGCTAGCTCGTAAGTCGGATATCTCCCACGAACAATTTAATCCAACAAATAGACTTCCACCTACTTTCCCTCTGTTTCTCTTTCACCACTCAAACAAGATGGTTCTCCTCAATGGATCAAGGAAAATTTGCAACCAAAAAATCTACATTCAACAGCATATTGCTCGAGGACCAACAAATATCATTTAAGAAGACATCCCAAGGGTGAATAAAGCAATTGTCATCAACTCTTTTATATAGAAAAACTAGGATATCATCTTAGATTAAATCATGCCTCACTTCTATTTTTTTAGCGTGCACTTTCATATAGAGAACCTAGGGCTTTAGGTACTAAAGAAACTCAACAATGGTGTAAAAGTGACAAAAGCTCATAAAGAAAAGAAGCAACAAGTTTTCTAGTAGGCAAAATAAAATTTAAAACTAATAATTTATACAATAAGCTAGGTATATAGGACAAAAAAAGTTTATATATATAATCAAAGAAACAAAAAATAACTAGAGATTTTGATCAAGTGTATTAAGAGTAAAGAGATTATGATTTAACTTAAAGATGAACAGAACAAATAAAAATGAAAATATCATTTTTGCAAAATCAAATTCCAATAGTTTCTGGAAAGAAATTTTCATATATGCTATTAATCATAAAAAGGCATATAACCAAGTACTATAATAAAGTTAAGAGAAAAAGTACGATGAAAATTGATTTTATGGAGACTGAAAAAAGATATATTTTAAAGATATCTAAAATTTGTTAAATATATCTATAATGAAGCAATGATTAACAATAAAAATAATTATAGAATGACAAATATTTCCTATGTCTAAGATTACATGGAAGGCTGATATATATATATATATATATATATATATATAATTGAATAAAAGCTGGTCTTCATTAAAAAAAAAATCACTTTACCAATGTTAGTTAAACAATGTTCTATTAAACAGAGAAGATTTATGCTCTTTGAAACACAAGGACTGCAAAGATTTATTTGTTTCTGATCATTGGTTTCGGGCTGGAGAAGTGATCCAGCTGATAAGAGAGCTTCACTAAGGCACAGCATTCCTCAAACATACAAAAAATAAGAATACATAATGTTCAACGTCTAACAAGTATTTTCTTAAGTTGTAGAACTTGATGTATACCAAATATCATTCAAGGACCACCAAGCTGATTCAAACAAAGCTAAGTTCGTGATCATAAATAAGACTTTTGAGAAGTACTAAACCTTTTTATTGTTTACAAGTTTTCCAATATATTGTTAAAACCCTTTCAATATCTCCAAAAAGCACAGACGAGAAAAAGAGACTCACCTAAGCAAGCTGGGGAGACGCAAGCGGCAGCTTCACTTTGATCTGCAAGGTAAGGCACTTCCTTCTGTATGTCATCCATAAGAATCTTCTCTGTAGTGACCATGCTAATGTTACGATGGGTTACTTTCTTCTTAATGACTACTGAAGAACCCTCCTCACCATCTTTTGAATCATCCCCGAACTTATAATAAGCAGCACCATCACTAACCTTTGTATAAGCATAGGCATTAGCATTCTGCATAAAATTAGATCTTATTCCTGAGATAGGTTGTGCATCTTGGTCAGCTTGTCCATTCTCACACTTGACTGCAAGAGCTGGATGCCTATTAGAGTCCGGAATCAGCATCAGATTATAAGAATCCATATTCCGATCAACTGCATGGTTACTTCTCTCATAGGCTAGAGGAGATGATATTTTTTTAAGTTCAGTTCTTTCGGTTCTACAAAACTGATCAAGGCCATTGCTAGACAAGGTTATGTGATCTGAATTTTCCGTTGCGTACTGCCACACAGGTTGATCCTTAATTGTAGGACAGCATACATTTTGCTGTGTATAACTCAAATTGACTCGTTTTAATCTTCTAGAATCTTTAAAGTCTCTGAGATCTTCATTTTCCTTTTCTTCGAGAGCCTTCTCCACTTCTTGCAATCTTATCTGAAATATTGGTAAACAGAAATTATCCAAACAAGTGCAAAGGAAATATCATGTAGAGGTATGAAAAATGAAGACATAATACGTACTTTCAATTTATTTATCTTTTCTCTAGCCTTATCTAGCTTCTTGCAAGAGCGAGTTTCTGACCGTCCGAGAATGTTGCATTGGATCATCAGATCCTTATAACTCCTACTTCACCCAAAAGTCACAGAAATCTTAGTCAATGTGAATGGCATCGCCACGTCAGTTTGCGCATTAACAAATGAAAGAGAATGAATGCAAAATATATAAAGGAAAAAGGGAACCAATAAGTAAAAAAACTTGGAAGTCACGTGTATATTCTGGCAAAGTGAGTAAACCAGGGATAAAGTAACATGCATCTCTGATTCCAAATTATTTTATAGTTTTTAAGCAAATGCTGATCAAGAAAGGCTTCTAAGGAAGAGACGCAGCGAATTATCAATAGATAAGGTTGATATACTGATAAAAATGTTCTGAACACTTAAATTAATTTCAATAATGCTTTTTTTACATGCTAATATCGCTAAAATATCCCTGTTAACTCATCAATTTAGGCTTAAATTTGGGCCAATCAACTCTTAGTTTAAGCAAAGCACCTATGCCCTAACCGTGCAAGGACTTGGGTGAAACCAAATGGCATCGCCCTCCAGGCTCCAGCCCTCCTAATCCTCGTTGATGGATAAACTAAACGATATTACCGTTCATGACAAAACAACTAGATGCTTTCCCAAATATAGAAAACATGCGGCCTTAGCATGAACATGCAATGCAACATCAAGCTTTCATACAAAGACTCAAACACTAAGAACAATTATCAATAATCCTTTATTTATATTTTGTATATGATGTGTCCTTTCAGTAGAACCAGTTAGCAATGACACATTTATTTTTAAATAGCTTTGATATATATTTTCATCAAAAGATGTTTTAAAGAAGTCTATATTTACTTCAACACATTGCATTAAATTCAGTCAAAAAATTCAAATAGCTTCTTCTACTTCCTAGTTTTTTATAGGCCATTATAAAATTTATGCATATAAAAAATTTCTATGCATACAAGACATCTATAATGGGAGATCAAAGTTTTCTCTCACTTAATATGGAATGTATGCTAATTGTTGATGAAAATTAATTCCCTATGGTATATATACGAACAACTAATTGTATGGTTTGGCATAACTTATTAGATCATTTAATTTGTAAAATGATTTTATCATTTTAGTAATTGTATGATAGATTAATTAAATTCAATTTTGTGCTTAAGTATGTTGATTTATGTATATATAAATTTTATAATTATACATATAATCTACAACAACAACATCAACATCAAGTCATTATCCCACTACGTGAGGTCGGCTACATGAATCTTTTTTTTTTCCTGTGTTATGTTTAGAGTCAAATTCTCATTTAAATCTAATAAAGAAATGTCATTTCTAATATTTTCTAACCAAGTCCTTTTAGGCATACCTCTACCTTTCTTAATATAAGCCAAATCAAATACATCTACTTTCATAATCGGGTCATGAAGAGGCCGTCATTTTATGTGACCAAACTATCTAAGGCAACTCTCTCTAATCTTATCTTCCACTACAGCTACTCCAACCTCTTCACGTATATGCTCATTTCATATCCTATTTCTAAGAGTAAAGCCCCTCATCCACCTAAGCATCCTCATATCTGCAACACTTAAATTAATATTATGCTTCTCTTTTAATTGTCATCGTTCCACACCATAAATCATTGCAGGCGTCACCACAATCGTATAGAAATTTCCCTTAAGTTTGAGGGGGGCTTTTCTATCACACAACAAGCCCGATGCATTCCTCCACTTTAACCACCCAACTTGAATTATACTAATAATATCCCCATCTATTCCACCATCATTTTAAACAATAGACCCAATATAGCTAAAATATGTACTCTTATTAATGACTTGATCGCCCAAAGTAAATATTTGAGCATAAAATTTAATGTCTTTTAAGTGATTTATATAATTTGAATAATTAAGAATTAGCCATAGCATTCTTAATTATTTTATAAATTACCTAATTAAATATATAATTGTAATTGATTATATAGATATAGTAAATTTTATCACACATAACGGGCAGTAATAAAATACAGTCCTGAAATAAATACACATATCCACATTTTGAAGCCTTCTAATTCTAATCCCACTTCACATAAAATTAAATATATAATTGTAATTCCTGCATATTGTAAATCAAAGTGGTGAATTCATTTATGATATTTATGCAATCCTTCTTTACAGCCAACCCGACCAAGAGAATTTTTTTACAGAGCTTGTACTAAATATTTATAATGGGATGAAAAACATAAAACTTCTTTAAAAACTATTCTCTCCTAAAATTCAATAAACCTAATACTGAAATGTCGGACAATTTCTTTTCTGAATGTACAATTTGTTAGTATGTATCGGCCTAGTCCCTCAATGAGCACAAATTTCGGATAACAAAGAATAAAATTGTGACAGTTAAAGCGTTATGCTCCAGCTGAGCCTTCCCGTAGCTTTAGGAGATTGAGTTCCACGATTACAACTTAATATAAAAACTTCTGATAAAAGAGAAAAGATACATTGTAGATGCTAGAGCCAGACCTGCACAATTGTGGTCCTATGGTAAAGCAGTCTTTAATGGGCAAATCTCATGCTTAATACAGTTGCAAATTTTATGTTGCAAGAACACATGGGAATCGACTTTTAAACTGTTGAGCAAATGAACTGGCTCGAGATTTTCAATGCAAGAGAATATATGTACAATTGAGCTGCTTGAACCAGAACTATAGAGAAGAGATAATCCAGGTCTAATGGAAGCAGCATACTTGTGTAGCAGATCTCAAGTTCAAATCTATTCATTTAAAATAATACGAAATAGAGTTTCTTGTGTTATGACCACAAATTTAGTCCACCAAATGAACAGCTATCAAAGAGCATTGTTCAGGAAAGTTAAAAAGCAATGGCTCAAACTTTCAAAAGCTTAGGTTACAAAGAGAGTTTAGAAAAAAGGAATCGTTTATTATCTTACGTACTTTGACACAAGATTAGACTATCGCAAGGCCTGCACTTGACAAAACATCAAATTCCCAATACAGGAAAGAATAGAACTCAAAAGAAAGTACTATCAAGATAAAAATAACCATATTTATTGAAATACAAGCAAAAGTAACAAATTCTCTACTCAACTATTTTCAGAAAAAAATTCTTAATATAAGGAAATCATTTATCCCTAACTTAATATGAACTTTAATTTCTAAAGCTGCATTACAACCAAGATTTAAGGGGGGAAAAAACAGAAGTAACCTTAAAGGCTTCCTTAATGTCAAGATTGTTCTCAATTAAAAGTCATGCTCACAAATCACTTTAAAGTAAGCAATGTTAGCTGTTGCATCCCATAAAAAATGAAAGCTTTCATGCTTCGGAAGAATTAGGATTCATAAAGCAGAAACACAAACAGTTAACATAAGGCTAATACTGATTATAATCATGCAAAACAAAATGCCTGAACCACTTATCAAGAATGTTCGCATATGTATCCAGAACTATGATGATTATCTAATATTCCTACTAGGAAGCCAATCTTCGGCTTTATAGCACATGACTTGATGCATCAGGCCTATATAAGGAAAATAAATATTTTACACAATAAATTACTTCAAAACAATCAAATAATCAATTCGTAAGTGTAAGGAAACTAGATAGGATGAAGCAATTATTTTAATCTTCTTCATAACCTACTTGTTGCGTAGAGCAAGTGACTTCTTCAAAACATCTAAAGCATTCTCTATGTTACTTCCATGGCCAATAGAAGCAAGCCTCACCATGTCTTCTTCCTCTAGGTTCAGGTCAGTTGCCCTGAAGAGTAAAACAGAAAGCACCAATACAGATCTTAAATGTCAACTAACATGAAGGAAATCCTATACAAGGTTCACCAAACTAATGTTGCGCATTTGATAACCGTGTTTACAATTTTAGGGTAGCAAGTTCCTTAGCCAATGCCAAGCCCCTCTCTTGTAGCTTAGCAATCTCTACTGTTTTCATTGATAGTTCCTAAAAAAAAAAAAAAAATCAATTCAAAACTATGCATGACGACTAAACTGCATGTCAACAAGATTATATTGTGCAGGAAAGTGGCATTAACCTCCATTTTCATATAAAGAAGCTGCTCGTTGTACTCCTTCTCTTTCTTAATTTCCTCCTTCCTAAGCTCCTCTTCTTTTGCAAACTGTTTCCAAGCAGAGAGCTTGGTACAATAAACTGTTCTCTTTAGATGAGGGAAAGAAGGCACAAATAATCATATGAACGAGCAAGCATGAGAAAGTGCGTTCAAAGTGATTACCACTATTGAGAAATGGAAATTATCTTTAACACATTTCAATTATACAAAAATCATTTTGAAAATGAAAATTATAGAATTTTTAAACTACAGAAGTGCACTTTTTGTTATTGGTGATATAGATATGAAAACCGGTGCCGCTTCCTTTCCCTATTAATCTATCCATGCAGCACTTCTTTAACTGAAAAAGAAAGAAGTGCTGAAGCATTATATCGTTTTTATAATCCATTATTTGTCATTTATCCTTTAAATTCTTTAACTGAAAAAGAAAGAAGTGTTGAAGCATTATATCGTTCTTATAACCATTATTTGTCATTTATCCTTTAAATATTATCTATTTGCATCATAGATTAAATAATTATATATATAATTATTTTTTAAATTCAAGCAACCAAATGAGCACTAAGTGGTTCGTACATTTAAAAAATTAGAAAAGTTGAGCAATGCTAAAATAATAATATTAAAGTGGATGTCTATCAAAATTAAGAAAGATAGATTGATGATGGGAAAGCATATTAATATAATGTATTGAAAATGAGATTTTTGTTATTTTGGTAATACAAAATGATAAATAGATGATGTATCAATAAGATAAATGCAGCGGAAATAAACTGAGACATATTGCTTTTAGTCAAAAAATCATTTGCAATTTGTCATTCAAAATTTTAAAAACAGTAAATAGAAAGATAAATTGAAAAACTTAGACAATATTAACACATGTATGTTTTTGCATCAACAACGCAAGAGACAAATAATTCTCTCTGCCAAAACTTTCAAAAAACTACCACAATCTATCTATATCATAACAGATGCTATAATGAAACTACACATGAATATTTAGCACACCAAAGTCCCAAGAAAGAATAACCCAAAGAACAATAGATTTATGTGGTTCAAGTTCCGAAGAACTTGCATCCACAGAGCAACCTCAATCTTAACTATTTTATTAAGACTGTGAATAACAAATACAGGTGATTTAATCAGAATCTTTGGAATACGGATTTCCAACAACAAGCAAAAGAAAAACAAGAACCGAATACTCAAAACTTGTCAATCTTTCTTCAAAGAACTTGTCAATCTTTCTTCAAAGAACTTGTAAAGAAAGATATAAATGAGATTCAAGTTTACAATTAAAGCATGCAACAGAAGAGATCTTACAAAGAAACTAAGCATCGAACTGAGTGGACCGAACATACAATCAACGATGTCGATTTCCTCTCTCCCTTGAAGCAAATTCCTAGTAGAGAGAAACAAGAGAAACTCTTCTCTATTTTCACACTCATAAAACCATTAATGTCTAAATTAACTTAAAGGAACGGCCTTGGTCGCAATGTCTGCTAGATTATCATCTGTTGAAACTTTTATAAGCTTGATTGCACCTAAATTTACCCTGTCATAAATGAAATGAAAACAGACATCCACGTGTTTTTGTTCTTTCATGAAAAATTGGATTCTTATGCAAATGTAAAACACTGTCTATATGTATAAAATGTGATGACATTGTGCAAAAATATCAAACTCACTTAACATACTCTATAACCGAACTAAATGATTGCACCTAAACTCAAACTAATTTATTGGTTATACAGAGATCTAAATAAAGCATTTCCTAAAGATTAGTTTATATTGCCCATATCAAAACTCGTTATTAATATTGCTTCCTCGCATGGACGATTCATCTGATAACGATTAGATTAAAATGGCTCCTAAAGATGAAAATATTTAGTATTTAGAATACTAACAAGAGTCTACTGCTATAAGGTTATGTCCTTCATACTAAAGAATGCTAGTGCAACATACCAGTGGGAAATGATGAGTATTTTTGTCAAACTTATCAACTAACACATGGAGTGTTATGTCGATTCGTTAAAAGTTTTGAAATGGAACATTTAAACGGCCTGAGAATTGTTTTTTAACAACTATCAGTATAATATTAAAATAAACCCTATGGGATGTGCTTTTATTATTACTTCAGGAAAGTTTTAGGTTTCGTTGTAAGATACCACAAAATAAAAATAAACTATATTAAATTAAGGCAATCCTAAAAATGCCATCACCTTGAAGCCTCACTCAATTGAGATCTTTCTAAGATTTTTGATATGATGCACAGACACAGACACGGCGATATGGATACGACACGACACAGACACAAGGCACTTCAATTATTGAAAATATAAGACACGAACATGGGTTGAACACAATATTATTATTTTTATATTTTAAATAGTGTATAAAAATTGAATAAGTATAATATTAAAAATAATTTAGAAATAATAAGACATTTAACTATAATTAACATGATTAATATTATGATATCGAGAGTCGGTCGTCAATGTCATGTATCAGGCATCAAAAGAGGAGACGACAATGTTGTCGAGAGTCGGGCATTGATGTTATATACTAAGTATCAAGCGTCAATGTCGAGAGGGCATCTATCGTCAATATTGAGAGGGCGGTGGTCGTCGATATTAAGATAATGTCACACAAAAATGAGCTGTCAAGTTATGGGTGTAGAAATTATTAGCATCGAGCATCAATGTCAAGACAATATCAGACTTTGATGTTGAGATGGTTTTGAAATATCGATGTTGTAACAACGTCAAACATTGATGTTAGAGATGACATTGGGGCATTGTTTTAAAACCAAAGCCGCGACTCACCAAAGAGAAATGAAAATGAAAATATTCGATGAATGGGGTATTGAGTGCGAGCAATTAATTTATTGCTATGGAGAGGAAATAATAAATTTAGTTATTATGTTTTAAATAAATAATTTTTTTAAATATAAGAAATTATATTAAAAAATTCATAAAATATTTAAAACACACGTGTCCAATTTACGTTTAATATTTTTTAATCAGACGCGTTTTCGGCATTTCCAAATTCCAACACGTGTTGAAGGTGTGTTGGACATGTGTCGTGTCAGATACATGTCAGACACTGCACGCCTCTTTGAGAATAAGTGTCGGTGCATCATAAGACTATTTTAGCATATCTTAGAAGAATTATATCAAACCTATTTAAAAGATGTCAATCATTTGCAACCTTGTGTAAGAAAGATGTTCATTTACAATGGGACGACAAATGTCAGAAGGCTTTTGAAAGTATAAAACATTATTTGATGAATCCTCCAGTTTTGGTTGCTTCTATCTCAGGGAAACCATTAATCTTGTATATAACAGTCTTAAATGAATATCCTGGCATCTTCTTAACTCAAGTTAATGAGGAAGGAAAAGAGAACGTGCTTTATTACCTAAGCAGAAGATTGCTACCAACTGAATAAAAGTATCCTACTATTTAGAAATAATTTTTAGCCTTAATCTTCAATGCTTAGAAGCTAAGGCACTACATGTTATCTCATACAGTAATTCTAATTTTTAGAGTAAATCAGTTGTAATATCTAATGACCCGTCTAACACTATCAAGAAGATTAGCTTAATGGTCGATGATTCTGCTACAGTTTCACATTACATTTATTTCCTTGCATGTTGTGAAAGGACAAGCCCTGAAAGATTTCCTGAAATTGGTTATGTATCTTCGTCATATATTTGTACATCTTGTAATGTGGCCAAAAGCCTCAAACTATCATTTAATAAAAGCATTACATTGTCATCCTCTCCATTTAATCTCATTCATTCTGATGTCTGGGGCCCTGCTCCACAATAGTCATTAGACGGGTTTATTTATCGATGACTTTACTCGTTTCTCATGGTTATATCTCATGCACTATAAACAGGAGACATTTACAAAATTTAAATTCTTTTGTAATCTTGTCAAGAACCAATTTCACTCTACTCCTAAATCTTTCGATCTGACGATGGAGGTGAATTTACAAGTAACACTTTCAAAACATTTCTCCAAGAACAAGGAATAAGTCATCAAATCAGTTGCCCCCATACCCATGAACAGAACGGTTTAGCTGAGCACAAGCACAGACATCTACTCGATCTCACTCGCACACTTTTACAAGCACCCAATCTTCCAAACAAATTCTAGGCAGAAGCTCTATCAACTGCCAATTATCTTATCAATCGTCTTCCATCCAAACCTAATTTTCTCCAAACTCCGTATCAAAGACTCCATGGCACACCTCCTACATACTCCCATCTTAGCACCTTTGGTTGTCTCTGTTATCCTTGGTTACAACCATATACCTATGATAAACTCTCACCTCGCTGCCAAGAATGTATCTTTAGAGGTTATTCGTCCATTCACAAAGGATACAAATGCTTCAACATACTCTCTGGCAAAATCCATATCTCCAGGCATGTAGTTTTTCATGAACATCTTTTTCCATATAAAGTCTCTAATACTACCTCCAAAACTCTACCTCCGTCAAGCAATACACCTATCTCCCCACTCCTCCTAATTCCCTCCCTTACCACAAAATCTCCTCAAATGACCTCTTCCCCAACCGAGGCCACTTCTCCCATCAACTTTATTCCCTCTCCCGCACACTCATCTAGCAACTCTCACACGACTCCTTCCACCACTTCACATCCTTCCACGACTCATTTATCCCCTATTCCAACTCACCCAATGCAAACAAGACTAAAATCAGGCATTTCCAAATCCAAACAAATCTTTACTCTTTTAAGCACCACTCAGCCTCAATCTACACCAACCACATACTCTCAAGCTACCAAATTCAAACATTGGTGCACCGCCATGTCAATGGAATTTATAGCTCTTTAAAAATAATGCACCTAGTCGCTTTTGCCTCCTCCACCCAACAAACTGTTCTCGGCTACAAATGGACCTTTAAAACCAAATATCTTCCTAATGGTCAAGTGGATCGCTATAAAGCACGCCTAGTTTCACAAGGCTATAATCAACAATTCGGCGTAAATTACACTAAAACTTTCAACCATGTAGCAAAAATGCCCAACATCCTTATCCTTCTCACTCTCGCTCTCCATCGGCAATGGCCAATGCTCCAATTGGATGTCCTAACGCATTTCTTCACAGTGATCTTTCGGATGATATATAAATGTGCCAGCCTCTAGGATTCGTGTACCCTCACTCTCCCAACTCCGTCTGCAAACTACACAAATCGCTCTACGGGCTCAAACAAACACCTCGGCAATGGTTTCAGAAGCTCACCAGCTATCTACAAACCTTTGGTTTCGAGTTCAGTAGCTCCAACCCCTCCCTACTTATACTTCATCGCAATCACACTCAAATTTACATGCTAATCTATGTCGATAATATTTTTGTCACAGGTAACGATTCCACCGCAATTCAATCTCTTCTCAAGCAACTACACTCACAATTTGCACTCAAACAACTCGGACAAGTTTCCCTTTTCCTCGGCATACACCTCCAAATAAACTCTGGCTTCTTCCTACCCAACAACATTATGCAACCAAACTACTTCAAGATGTTGGGTTCTTTGATTGCAAGTCAGCACCTACACCTATCACTCCAAAGTCTAAACATCAATTCAGCAACAATCAATTATTTCAAGATCCTACACTCTATCGTAAACTCGTCGGGTCACTCCAATACCTATCAATTACTCAACCAGACATTGCTGTTGCTACCAACTTCATCTGTCAACATATGCAAAAACCTACAATCCAAGACTTTCAAGCTCTCAAACGACTCCTATGCTACATCAAAGGCGCTTTGCACTTTGGTCTACCACTAACTACTGGAGACCTACAACTCCGCATATACACCGATGCAGATTGGGCATCATATTCAACATATCAAAAATCCATCTCCGGCTTTTACACATTCTTGGGTACTAATCTCATTTCATGGTCAGTAAAGAAGTAGATCGCGTTTGCAAAGTCCTCAACAGAAGCTGAGTACATATCGCTCTCCTCGACCACTTCGGATGTCATCTGGCTTCGTCGCCTAGTTGCCAAACTTCAGATCACCCAAAGCTCTCCAACAATCATCCACTGCGACAACATCTCGCCCATTGTTGTAGCAAAGAGTCGTGTCTTCCATGCTAGAACAAAGCATATTGAGATCGACTACCACTTCATCCATCAACATCTCAACTCAGGAGAAATCACTATCACTCACATTGCATCAAAGGATCAGATTGCAGATATCTTAACCAAAGCTTTCTCTCTTGTTCGCTTTAATGAACTTTGCCGCAATGAATGATTAATTTGAGGGAGCATGTTAGTGAATAGTACACATCAGCTGTGACGTGTCTTATTTATTTTATGAGCCCATTGTATTTCTATATATACTTGATATTTGTATCTACTTTGGATATACTAGAATACATTTTTCCTCTTTCTTCTTCCTGCGTTTCCGCTGGCTGCTGCTCTTCTTTCACATTCAGATTGCTCTCTCCGCTTGAGTTTATTTATTAATAAAATAGACAGGCAGAGAGAGTTAGCTGAAGAAGTGTTGAGTTAGGGGGTATGCTTCTCTGCAACAGGATATACCTGAAATTTAGCTTCCATTATCTTTAACTTACGTGCTTTCTTTCCCATCCCTCAATCTTCTATGAAACCAAATAGAAATTTTACCTCCTCATGTATTATATCATGTATTATATCTGAGCCCTGGTCTCTTCGGTTGAGTTTTCTTTTGGTTTTCTGTAATTAAGCGGTGAAAATCTTCGAAAGACGAAAACGAATGGCAGTACTTTCTGTACCTCCTCATCTAGTTTCTTGAGAAGCGCCTGCTGGTTCTCGAACGTGGTGTTCACGGCCGCGAGCTTCATTTTCAATCTCCTCACCTCCTCAACCAGCGTTTCGACATCAGCATTGCCTGGACCGTGCCTTGAAAAAGATGAATTTAGCTGAGGGGAGTCGCCGGTGGACTGAAAGTAGAGGCGGGTGAGGTTATGGCGAGAGCATGACTGCTTGCAGACAGGACAAGTTGGCTTCTTTCCCGCCGGACAGTACTCCAGCCATTGTTGGATGCTGAAATAGAAGAAATCGGGCAAACATGAAGAGTGGTACAAAATGATCGACCGAGAGAGATAAGGGATTAGAACGAATTGGAGTTCTCGATTAATTTACCAGAGCTCGTGGAAGACGTGGCCGCAAATGGGGAGCGTTTGGAGGTCCTCGAGGATGGGTTTCAGGTCCTCAAAGCAGATAGTGCAAATAGCCTTCTGCACATCACCGCTACCAGTTGTGGAGTTCAAATCGGCCATTTGTAAGCACGGATTACATCAGGGTTTATCAGGAACGGAGCTAATTTTTAGGTTTTTAGTATACATAAACTACGCTTTATATCTATACCGTCTCGGCGGTCGAGCGGCAAATTTTCAGAACCGTGAAACTGAACTAAACGCGGGATACCGGGCTTCTAGGTAACAATCTTAAATTGATGAGGTATTTATACACATATCATTTAAATGGGGAAATTAAGCTTTTTATGCTTCATAACTTGCATGTTTTTTTTTAATAACATCTAAAAATTCATTTCAAATGAAATTAACACCACTAGTATTTTCAAACAGTCGAGCTAGTTCAAATTTAAATATTAATTAGAACCTAATTTTAACATTTATTTGAATATGAATCCAACATTTATTTGAGCCTAATTCTAACCTCATTTTTCATCGCTCTCAAATGCGTTCCCACAAACTCTTTTTCTTCTTCACGTGTAATCATCTTGAGATGCCTTTCTTATAAACTCTACTTCTCTTTTGCACGGCATGGATCTCATACCTTTATTCTTCTTCACATTGATTTGGTGACCGAAATGTCTTCCTAGCAGCATCCTCTTCACACACAATACTAGTTTCACAATTTCTTTTCCTGCTATCTCTATCGCACATAATGTTAATCGAATGATTCATTCCCCGCATACTACTCCTCTCCTTTTTTGCATAGTAAATCTCGTGATACCTTCCACATGAATTGCTCTTCTTTACATTTTCATATCATGGATTCATAAAAGTGATAAACCACTACAACAACATATGTAATAAAGGGGCATGAACTAATGAAAGCATGTTTTATTCTCATCAAAAGAAAGTTCATCTACGAGTAATATAAATAGTAAAAATAGCAAAATAAATAATACTTAATTGAATTAATAACATCCAACAACAATACATCAACAGACTATGAATAACAACAATTAGATAAAAAAAAAAAACTAGAAGCAAAGGCTACACATGCAAACCGCCCAAACCCAAAATAAATACAAATAGAACTATAAAATTTTGAAAATGCTGAATGCACAATCATTGTTGAAAAAATATGCTCATGTGGTAATAGTCCACAAAAGTTAACAACTATTGAGTTTAATAAATAACTCATATTTATTAAAACATAAATGTCAATGCATTGTTACATAAAGTATGGTCAATAGAAGAAGCATGAATAATTATATAATAGCATGTAATCAATATTATCATATCCTCTAGTAAGGATAATATTATAATGTATATATGAAACATGTCATATATCCAAAGCTATTTTTTAATATGATGATGTACATGATCATTGTGTTTGATAAATGCTAAGTTATAAATAGTGATTATATATTTTTTATATATTTATAGTTGATTTTATCAATACACTCTTAATTCAAGAAGGTAAACAACAATCCAATAAATTCTTATGATTTACTATAGAATTGGCACTCTATGGCCTTGTCGGCCCGACTATCAAATATGTAAAAGGATTATACTGACCTACATTTCACTGCATACAAACGTACATTTTTCACATCTTGTCAAAATGACAAATTCTATTTTATAATATAATATAATTTATATGAATAATATTTACAATATTTTACATAAGTAGCACACATTATAAATATATCATCTATTATAGAAATCAATTCAATTTACAAGAGTTTATAAAGCAATAAATTAATGCAACACTCTTTCTACCACATAATTATGAAGTTTCCAACTTGATTTTTGCCTCAAGATTCGTGCCCGATCAAGTTAATTTTCGCATGACGTATCAATAGTAAAAATCAAATATTGAGTGTAGAACTAAAAAACTATAAATATAAAAGAACGTGATATAATTAATAGGGATAACACCCCTAACAAATAAGAGATTTATACTCTAATAAATAAAAAATAAAAGTTGCTTACCTCATCAAGCAAAATGAAGCACCAAATTTCTCATAATTCAACTGATGATGCCTAGTGAAACTCAACTTAAAAGTCCTGCACATAAGAATCATAAATCAATATCTAAAACTATAGCAAGAATTCAATCTATAAAAATATAAGATTAAATAAATACATTGAATGTTATTATTCAAACTCATTCATTATAAGCTACTCAAAAGTCAACCTAGTCTAATTATTATTAACATGAGATAAGACACACAATATTAATCTACCAAATTAAATTAGTCTGTAATACCCTAATCATGACCTAAGTAGATGGCAATGAATTAATTAATCCATAAAAAAATAAATTAATTAATCCAAAACAAAATTACTAATAATCGAACTCTTTGTACCAACTCAAGTAGAGAAGACGGAACAATCTTCTCAAAGAAAGAAAAGAAGAGAAAAAATAGGTTCATTGTTATTGGTGGATTTTGATCGACGGAAGAGGAACACTGGCTTGTGATTCATACCTGATGGAAGAAAAGCAAGAAGAAGATGATGGATCCTTGGTGAAGGACTTGCAGCTAGGTTTTTTAGAGAAGGAAGAGGCATCAAAAGAGAAGGTGGCGAGCAAACTTGTTGTTGGAGAGGGAAAAGAGAAAATATATAGTGGAATCACTAGCTCGTTGCTATCTTATATTGACCATTATAGGTAGTGAAGGGCACTAGGTCGCATACAAAGATCGATTGCAGTCATATGGAGAGGGTTGAGGACTTTGGTTTGGGTATGTGCATTCGATTCACTTATCACATGCACGATGTTGATCCTGCAATGGCTTCCAATGAACTCCTCTTCACTCATGCTGATGGTGCCATGAGGCCTCCCCTATATATGAACTCTTTCGCGCATGATGCTGGTTCTGCGATGCTTTTCCCCATATACTACTCTTCTTCATCCCTGCAATACCTTCCCTGTAGCTCAAACCAACTTCGAATTTGAAATAGTTCAAATCATTTTCAAATGTCTTATAGTCCAATAAGTAGATTACGAATACAAGAGGTTACTCTCATTCGAGGTAATTTAATTTGAAATGAACTAACAAGCATATTTATTTAATAAAATAAATAACGATGGTATTTGGCTAATTATATGTATTATAAGGCAAATAATTAAAGTTAGAAAAATTTTATTATTACATACATTACTAAAAAATGGGTGTTCCCGCAACGCTTATTATCAACAGTTTTCAAATCGGCGCTAAAAGAAGTCATAGGCAGCGGTTATTACCGCTGGTAGAACCCCTTATTACTTTCACACTCCCTTGCCCTAATCGCTTCATTCTACTCGTTCGACTCGTCCTCGCTCAATCCATCCCATTCTTCTTCAGGCCTTCAGCGAGTCTCCGCAAATCCCTGCTCAAGCCACCTCAAATCCTCCACCCGTCAAGGTGTTCTGTTACCACCGAATCAGCTACTCTCTTATATATTTGCCCTAATCAGCTCATTTTACTCATTCATCTGTCCTCCATGCAGATCCTTCGGTGAGCCTCAACAACCTCCTACTCGAGCCATCGGGATCTACCTCCAATCTCCGCCACCCCGCCGTCGCCACCAAGTGTTTTCGTCACCACCGAATCCAGCATCACTCTTTGATCTGATTGCAACCCCTTCCGCAACTTTCGTTTAAGCCACCACTACATCTTGATAAGCCCTTAAACTATTATATTACATGATTTCATATAAGTTTATTTTCACTTTGGATCATGAAAGAAAATGAAGATAACATAAATAAAATTTATATGCATTATAACATATAATTTAAGTTTTAATTATATCAAACGAATACGAAAATGCTAGGTCAATTTTAAGAGAGTTATTATTAAGGTACTGGATTTGGAATAAAATAAAATTTTGAGAGAGAGAGAGGGAGAGTCAATTTGACTTCAGAAAAAGAGTGAGATAGAAGACTTCCATTATTATTTTCTTCTTTCTAGATCAACAAAGGTTAATACTAACCGTAATTTTAATCAACTCCAGGCTGTTCCCATATTAGGTTTTATGAATGCTAACTCTCAAAGATTCGTTTGGAAGTTTATGAATTAAGGTTAACGAAAAATATAAATTATCAAAAATTTCTACTTATAAATTTATTTATGGGTATTAGTGATAATAAGGAGTATAATCAAATTTTGCTAGTAAGGAATCCTAAAACAATATTATGATTCTTTGACTTTAAGGTTAATAATGATTTCAAAAATAATTATATGAGTGTATTTTATAAAAAAATTGACTAAAAGTGTCAAACAATTCAAAAAATCGAACCAAATAAAACCCCCAATTTTCTGGGCTTGATATATAAATAATAAAGGAATTTCATAAGCATGTGATGGTAATTCAATGATTATATTGCATGATGTAACCCCACCAGCAATAGAACTTGAATATATTGAACAAATCAAAATAAAGATTATTAGTTTATCAATTGTAATTTATGAATCATGTAATTAATTTGTATGTCTATAAACCATTGCTAAGAATATTGTAGGTGTTTTAATCATTGCCGGAGGAATAAAAAAGTGATGTGAAAGCCAATTTTAATAGTAGTGATATTTGTAAGACATACAATATTATGATAAATCATAAATGATGAGTGTTTGTCTTTTTTTGTACAAAATTATGCACATAAATAAATAAAATGGGCTCAAAAGAGGTGAACGAGTTTTTATTGAAAAAATCCAAGAAGAAAAAATCACATGATCTAACGAGCACATAAAATAGTCTATTATATAAGTTGATCACTACATGAAATTTAGCTGTTACCGGCGGCCATGACCGTCGGTTCTATAGCCGCCGGTATTAACTAGAGAATATAGAATTGCAAGTCTCCACTATTTTTCTAATCTCTTCTCAGAGCAATGAGAAATTATAAAGGAATAATATGGAGTGACGGATGTTGATGTCGGTCTATGGCTGACAATGGTCAAGCATATTGGCCTAAAGTTGATGGCATTAGCCATGTATAGAAACTCATCAAAAGACATCAATAATCACTCATGCTAATCAACATCGATCGAGCAAATATGGTGGTTGTTAGTGCTTCGTAACTATCATAGCTTTAGGACTCTTCAAATATAAATAATACCTTCACCTAAGGTCCATATAAGTACAATCTATCTAATATTCATGAGTTTAATGAGTTCACTTTGCCCAAAAAGGTGAAAGGTTTAGCAATGTTTGATCGTACTAGTTTACCTTATTTAAGGTCAAGT